CATTGGATAATATTGGATATCTATATATAACATACTTAGCCACATCTATATACGTTTGCTTTTGGAAGGCGAGTGAAACAAACAAATAGCGAACTGACTCCCTTCACGTTCTTGGGCACGAACTCATCTTGTTCTGCCTGTGGGAATCCGTCCGACTCCTCCAGGAATTTCATAAGCCTGGCCAGCGATCGGACTCTACTAGGGGCTCCTGGCATCGCTACGAACGGAACAAGAACGCTACGAACGGGGCTCCTGGCCTCACTACCAGTAACAAACAAGCTACTATTCTTTCTCTCTTTCTTTCTTTCTTTCTTTTCTTGATGCACAATTTGCAACGAGCCACGTTTCGAACTCGTCAAAGGAAAGCTCGCCAGAGCCATCGTAGTCGACCTAGAATGCACAAAGTGCTGCCCACTGACTCCATCTTTTTACATCCCAAGAAAAATGCCACTAGGAGCAAGAAGCTACTAGGAGCAACGGGCATCGCTACTAGGAGCAAGGACGCTACTAGGGGCTCCTGGCCATACTACTAGGAGCAAGGACGCTACTAGGGGCTCCTGGCCATACTACTAGGAGCAAGGACGCTACTAGTAGCTATTTGCTACCAGTAGCAATGGCCTCCACCCTAATAGTGATGGCCTCCAACCTGCATTATGCTCCGTTGCTTTTTCCCGCCTTCTCCATGATCTCTGCAACAAGGCTGGGTGGAACCACGAATCCCAAACTGCGCAAGACCTTCGCAAAACCCATTGTTACTACTAGTAAGGCACTTGTTACTAGAAGCAATGCACTTGTTCTTAATAGTCGTTTGTTTCTTCGCAAAACCCAATGAAACACACCGTCACCAATCGCTTCGTCGAGACCTCTTGAAGTTCTTCCGTGCTGATTTGCTCACCTGGGCGTTTTGGAACACAACACACTCAAACCTCAACCGGTTTTCATTACAATCATTACAACATATTCTAAGTGATGTTTGAGTGTTGCTCTTTGCTACATGTTCCACTGGCCAAGGGTGGGTCCATTGCACACAACTGAATACCACCGCAGCTTGGTGTGTCTCAAACACGGAGTGCAAAGACTGATGTTTCGGTTTCCTCACATGCGACGACTTAGCGTTGGAGTCCACCAAAGAGTAGTAGCAGTATTAGTCTAGTAGTGGTAGTATAGTAGTAGTAGTAGTAGTAGTAGTAGGCAGTAGAATAGAGCTAGAGCAGTGTGGCTTGCACCATGACAGGACCACTGAAACAAAGACAATCCGCGCCGGACCGCTCTCTAGACATATGCTGCGATTGAAAGACCGGCATGCACCTTTATGGACTTTGGAGGCCATCACTAGGGTTGGAGATCACCTGAAGGAAGGTGACCTGACCCCGTGGAGCAAGACGCCCAAGCTGCCATATAACACATGGGTCGACCACCCATACAATGTTTTCTAATAGCTTCTTGTTACTACTAGTAAGGCACTTGTTACTACTAGCGATGCACTTGTTACTACTAGCTTAGGGATGCCCATACGTTATGTCTTATGACCCTCATACAATGAGATCGGACCCGACGCACAAAATACTGTGACGTAGAACATGACCTGAACGATAACGTGCAAACATACAATGGCTGAGAGACATGCAGACATGCATCTAAATCTCTGGCAATTGTTGTCACAATGTAGCTTCTTGTTACTAGTAGTGAGGCCAGGAGCCCCTAGTAGCGTCCTTGCTCCTAGTAGCGATGCCAGGAGCCCCTAGTAGCTTCTTGTTAATGTTATTTTTGGGAAAAGAACGACATGAAGATCCAGCAGCCACTGGAGAAATGATGTACCAATGTGACGGATGAGTTGACCTCGGCTAATGTACTCGGAGTTGAACCTGGCCATACCTGGCCTTTCTTGAGTAAGATTTCTTCTAGTGTACTACGACTGTTCCAAGGATTTTTTTTGCACTTAGCGAGTAACAAGTAAGTTCGTGGACAGCATTGGGAAGCAGGTCTCGCTTAGCAAGGTCTCATGCCAATCACGGTGTCTGGTTTCGCTACGGCCGCCCAAATGACTCAGCTTTAAGTAGTGCACTATCGTCCACATCGAACTTCCTGAAGGCCTCTGCATAGGCCTGGCCCATCTATGGACGTTTTGCTTGATTCATGCTGCAGCGACACCATCTGCCTCTTGCTGCCGAGTAGTGTACTCGTTCACAAAGTTCTCAAACTCCTTATGGTCCCAATCATGGGCATCATGCTGAAAGTGTTGGTCCGACAGTCCTCCGCTCCAAGAAAGGGTACCATCGTAATGCCCTTTCCGCGGCATCAATCGGGCACTCTATGGCACTCAAGAACTCTTCAGAAGCACTTGAAATCCCTTACTACTAGCGTGGCACTTGTTACTACTAGTAAGGCACTTGTTCCTAGTAGCGTGGCACTTGTTACTACTAGCGTGGCACTTGTTACTACTAGTAAGGCACCTGTTACTACTAGCGTGGCACTTGAAATCTCACCTCGGAAATCTCGTCAACCCATTCCTCTTTGATATCCTGCAGAGAAATGAAAAGGATATCAGCATTGCACTCAACTGCTGGCATGTTCGTCCATTTGACAGCTTGCACCCTCCTTCGAAAAAAATGTCCCTTTCGAAGAGCCGCCCCGGCTTCCACCATAGTATTAGTAAGAATGAGTGTTTGATGTTATCGTTTTGGAAAGAGGTCGAAGGTTGGAGGCCAGTGGAAGTGAGAAGGCCAAACGAGTGGAAACTGGATCACTCAGATTGATTGCCTGTTGCCGTCGGCTGTCCCGGGGCTGTACAAAAGCTACCCACTAGCGATGGCCCTAATAGCGTCCTTGCAGCCTAGTAAGGCCAGGAGCCCCGATCGTAGCTGTTTGTATGTTTTTTTTTACTGATAGCGATGGCCTCCAAAATGGGGGCAGTACACAAGTTGGTCAAGTCACCAACCGCCCAGTAACTTCACTCAGTAAAACCCTACGCGGTCAGACACACGGTGGTGGACTTCAATCACTGCATTTCCTTGAAAGAGTTACAATATGAAAAACGCCTAGCAAAAACTTTGAATTGCTGCGCCTGCCACCAGATCACAGCAACTGACCAACCACCACGACCACATCAAATTCGGCAGCCTCTGCCACGCAAACATGCCCGGCCCTGAGAGAGCACAGGTTAGATCCTCCACGACTAAGGGCTTTTCGTCGACCATGTCATTGGACTGTGAGACGGTTTCTTGACGACCAAAATCATCCCATAGCCGTGACAGCCACAGATGACAGCCACAAACGAGGAACTCATCCAAAATGATCATCTGTCTTGTCCAAAATGACGAGGGTTGATGGAGTTCTTCGTTGAGATGGAGGACCATGAGAATCCTCTTCTGTTGAGGCAGGAGACAGACCCGCAACAGCGATGGCTTCTGTTGCGCAGGGTGAAAGGAACAATGTGCTGCGCACCCCCTTCTGACGTCAACTTGCAGCTTCCAGGGTTGTGAAATCTTTTGACTTGGCGGCAAGTGATGTATCATCTCCCCTGCATTAGGTAGGGGGCGGGGTGAGGGCCCCCCTTGATTAATTTATCTTTTTAATTAGGGA